AAATTTAGCGAGTTTAGAGTAAATTATGAAAAATGAAGTAAAATCCCCATGTAATTTCAATGAGAAATGTTGGCAAAACTTTGAAATTAAATTACTAATTTATCCTGATGAATTTATATGGCAAATACTATACCATTAAATTGCGTGATTATCCAGCTACAATTTAGTGAAAACGGATTAAAAATCGGATTAACCATTCAAATGTTATTCAAATATTGCCTACAGTACATAGAAGTTTCAGTATACTGTATATTGTCTTGCAAGATATTGTTTAAAAAAAATAAAAATAAAACCAAAATACAAAATATAAAAGCAAAATTATAAAAATAAAAACATTAATAGATTAATACAAGTTAAACATTACAATATATTTTAACAAACATTTTTAACAAACAATAAAAAACAGATTTATATTTAAAATACTGTAGTACCTTAAGTAAAATTAAATTTTAACATTTTTGCTAGTTACACAAAAATATAATTCAAAACCATGGGCAACCATACAGGCCAACAAATAAACGCCAACCCTGTCATACTATCCACCAATTGGTAAACACCTGTCAATTCGTTATACTTTTCATCGAAATCACCGGTTCTTTGGACTCTCGCCTTAACCACCGACCCCTTGGGGCGCCTCCTATCATACGCCCACCCAATGCACGCAAACATATCTATGAAAGCCGTCGCCGTATTCCAGTTCCCACTCCACCCGAACTCTGAGGCCGAGTAGTCCCAGGGAAACGTGTGGTGATAGTTATGCCAGCCCTCGCCCAGGGCCAGGTAGTTGTACGTACGGGTGTCGCACGGATTGATGTGCTTATCGTACGGCCGGTACGACCAGTGCGTACCCAAATGGGCCCAGGAGTTCACGAGCCACGTATGGTGCAAGGACATTATATACCGGAAACAGTTACCCATAAACGCCATATACCATGACTCGCCCCACCAGAGCACCGGTATGGCCATGGTAATCAAAAATGTTAGGATGGCTAATGGTTTGTAGTATTTGTGCTGAAACCAGACTACAGGGTCGGCCCGCAGGTCGGACGTGTCTATCTCCTTGCCCTTAATGGTCACCTCCCGGTGCTTGCGACACATGAGCCAACCCATGTGGGCGAAAAAGAAACCCCGTTTGGCGTTATGGGGGTCGGCGTCGGTCTCGCAGTACCGGTGATGCGAGCGATGGTCGCGACACCAGTCGTATATGGAGTTCTGTAGGGCCACCGTCTGTAGGCCGGTCAACAGCACCCGGAGCTGCCAATTGGCTTTGTATGAGCGGTGAGACCAGAGACGGTGGGCGCCGCAATTGATACCCATTAAGCTGAGCACAGATACAATAATTTTATATAATTGCGATCCTATGGTATAATGACCTGTAAAAATGTAAGTGGTGATTTTATAAGGTTACGAATAACACTGTAATATACTAGTAGATGCAAAATATTGTAGATTATCATGGGGAATAATTGAAAATAAATGTGTGTGCAAGCTGCATTCAGGGAGGGTGATCATATAATTTATATTAATTTACCTTGAATACATTTCCAAAAGGCTATAATTGCTGCCAAGTGTAATAAAGCTAATCTAATTATAGTGGGCCACGCAAGTTGTCGTTTATATTCAGCCTTATTATAATCATCTTGAACATTTTCGCTATTTGCATTCAGCTCAGCCCCTTTGTGGTTGCTGTTAATTCGTAGATATAATATAAGTTACAATTAATTAAAATTATAATCAAGCCTGACATTTGGGGCCTATCATGCAGAAGAGGGACATTTATTTTGCACTGCAAACTGTATACATAACCTAATCAATGCTTTTCATAAGTAAGATACATTATGTGGTATTATTGAAAGGATTTATTATTTTAAGTATACAGTTTGCACTGCAAAATAAATGTCCCTCTTCAGCATGAATACCACCATTTATTGTTAATTGACAATAGTCATCATAATAAATAAATTAGTTTAGTTAAATAGTTATAGTTTGGGTATATTAAAAAAATACCTTAATAAATGAGGTCCTTGATCAGAAATCACAGACATTACCGATATTTATGAAAGGTATATTTAAAGGCTAAATTTAACCTACATAGATATTCACATTAATAAAATGATGTTGTATTTTAGTAAAACTTGTTATTTAAAGATATATTTAATGTTTAAATCAAATAGTTCTGAGAATTTTAGGAAAATATATTTATTTATTTATAACTATTTATTTTTTATTTTGTTCTATGTACATAATAGTTGGCAGATATAATTAAATTATTTTAAATATTAAATTTATAATTTATTATATTTATTGATTGTAATTCAGATATTTTACTTATGATTGCTTACAAGGCTTACAATTGCTTGTTTGTCTGTCCAGGATATTACTAGTTTTGTCAAAATATATCTATACTTTTCCTGATAAATTAATATAAATAAAATCAGTCAACAAAATTACACTTTTTATATTCATCATAGTTTAGTTAAATAATGTTTTGAAACTATGCTAATTAATTTTAAAATTCTTAGAAATTGTTATTAAAAATTATACTAGATTAGATTACAAATTTTCTAGGAAACCTAAAACTGTTATTAATATTATTTTGGTTTAATATATAGTATTTGATTTTATAGATAAATTTATATTATTTTTATAGGTAGAGAAAAGTTATAAATTTTGCTATATTGACTACATTTGTTAATAAATCTTTTTATTACTAACATAAGATTATAACATAACATAAAATTATAGCTTGGTAAGTTATTTAGTTAAGATTCACATTTTGCAAACTTTGTACGGTATTATTAGCCTTAGTATATTAAGCAATAAAGTAAATTGTAATACTGTATTCGTAATATAATATAATACTACAAATTGTGGTGACACTAAAATTGGATACAATAAATAATAGTACCTAGGATCAAATTTGTGTGTTTTCTAACTACTCGTATGGCAACTCTATGTGTGAATGTATAATATAAAGATCTAAGAATGAATTTAATGGTCTGGCCATACAGTACGGACCTATCGGTGATGTGGGTGTACTGGAGGGCGTGGATCAGGGCTTAGCCTTCAGCGCGTAAACAACGGATTCACTCGTGTTGTGATGTTTTGGACAAATTGTGGTGACACTAAAATTGGATACAATAAATAATAGTACCTAGGATCAAATTTGTGTGTTTTCTAACTACTCGTATGGCAACT